TAAAATGTTTAGCATAGACTAAATAAAGCTGGTAGGTAAGCAAATAAAATAATTGATCTATGGTAACAGGTAATGGTGTAGAGTTTTATATGTCAGAGAGCCCTGTCATTATTGAATGTTTCTCATTCACAGGTTGTGGTGGGATTTTCAAGGCTCCCAGTGGAGAGATTCATTCTCCCAATTACCCCAGCCCTTACAGGAGTAACACTGAGTGTTCCTGGGTCATTCAGGTTGAAAGAAATCACCGTGTTCTCTTGAACTTCACAGACTTTGATCTTGAACCTCAGGACTCGTGTATTATGGTAAGTGACAAAAATTTCAAGCTTTGTCCCCAGTCATACTTGGGTCAAAACATTGCCATATGGAGCTCATTTAGTGGATGTATTAGTTATGGATTTTCAATGTCAAGTCATTAAATACTTAACTATTAGTACCATAAGGACATTTATTTTTTACCTACCAACAAATTAGGAGGTAGATAATTTTAGGATTTAACAACTCAGTTTCTGCTCCACTATCCTTAGTGTGTCAGATCTTCATTTTGTATTTGTTATATCATGGTCAAAAAATGTCTGTAGAAGTTTTAAACATCCTGTCTGAGACCAGATCTAGAGAAAGGGAGAAAGAATAGTGTCAGCTATTTCTCTTATTTTTTTTCTGTAATCAGAAAGTCAACATTTTCACAGAAGCCCCCTCCTGCCTTACATATCACTGCCCAGGATGGACTGCAAGGGAGATTAGGAAAGTAAGTATCTGGCCAAGTGAAATAGGTTTATCATAGATCAGTTGTTATTCAGCCTCTGCCTCACGGGGTTCTACTTTTGTTGAGATCAGCATATCTCTATCTGCTACTTGGACAAATCAGTGTTCTGATAGAACAGAATAGGTTGGGTGATGAGGGTGAAGGAGAAGGTATATGACTATTAGTTGGTCCAAAACAAAAAGCAAACCCGTTGCCATCGAGTCGATTCTGACTTATAGTGACTCTATAGGGTAGAGTAGAACCGCCCCATAGGATTTCCAAGGCTTTAATCTTTGTGCATTTGAACTGCCGACCTTGCGGGTTAGCAGCC